TGAGAGAACTGGATTTTCTGCAGCTGGGCTTCTTGGTCGATAGATCTTTAGAAAAGAATCTTAGACTTCTTGGCTGAGGGACCTTTAGAGGTGTTGTTTTAACCAAGAGTTGCTCAGCAGTTAAAGGACAACTGTTCCCTGCAATCTGAATATCACATGCTGATTCAGCTTGCCTTGAAGTTTGTCATGCCAGATGCATGTAGGTAACAAGGGGGGACTTCAACCTGACACTCCTAAGATTTTCTGAGATTAAATGATCATTAATTTTACTTTTTTCCGGAGAAATTCTATGTGTTTTTTTTTTCATGGTAGTCAACACGTATGTGATCTTCAGCTGTGGCTATGATTGAAAGCCATCAATATATGTATAGACACATCAACAAGTGAAGAGGTGAGTGAGTTTAACTTCTGTTTTTTGAAAATAACTCTTTCCTAGGAAATGAAAATTGTGAAAAAAAAAAAAAGTATAAGCTCAGTGATGTGAGATAGCAACCAGTGGTACTCCAGCTGAGTGGTTCAGAACCTGATGAAGGAGTGGGAGAGGAATGGCCTCCCCTCCATACTTCTGGCAGTGAGTACATGATTTATCCTTGGTGCAAGAGTGTAGTTTTTCTAAAATTTAACTTTGGTGACTGAGAAAGAAAAGTTAAAACATGATTAAATGCGGACCAAGGACTCAGAAAACAAATAGACAGAAAAGGTCTCAATTTTTCCAGAACATTTCACTTGAGGGCTTTTTTTAAAACAGTCCAGTACCAGACTTCTACAGGGCAGATGACCTCTTTTTCACTACTCTTCGGGTAGGAGTTTAGAACTGCTCTTTGATTCTTCCTGGTGAAACTGGATTAATTATTTCCTTCAGTCTTAGTAATTGTGTTGTTTCCTTTAGAAGGAAACATATTATCGGCTTTAGAAGCAAAACAAAACAAAAAGCTGAGACCAAAGCTGTCCCAGAGCCAGCCTCACTAACAAGACCCAGATAACATGCCCAAGCTTGCTTTCTTTTCAGTGTGCCTGTCCTAAGAGCTGAAGGAGACAATGTGGGATGGCAGAAATGAATGTAAGAAATTGTAATGACGGTCTCACCTTTCTTTGACAAAATATCCTTCTTTCCTGACTGTCAAACTGATTTTTTTTCCCAGTTACTCATCCCTAGGAAACTAGTATTTGCACTGTCTGAGGTGCAAGTATATTGATTTGTGTAATATGCACAGGCCCCGCACAACCAGTAGTATCCACAGCACCTGGCTGCCAGGATGCTCAGCTCTCATGCAGAGAAAAGGCACAGGAATGAAGATAAGTGAAAGGGACATGAACAGTCATTAACATAAAAAGAGCAACAGGTTTCACTGGGAAACAAGAGAAGGGAGGAGCCATGGATATCTTAGATGTACCAAAGGTGCACGGCTGTGTGATGCTCAACAACCCGCACTCCTGTTAAGTCCATCCAAAGCCCCTTTTACAGCAAAGTTTAAATTCAGGCATCTTCCATTTTACACAGCTATTCTAGAGATGGAAAACAAAGCAAAATGTAGAACGTCAGGCCACATAAAAGGACACCAGAAATTTTCTGTGGTTTTACGTCCCCACACAGGGTTTACTTCCTTTGCTGGGAAATGCAGTGCAGTTTGCACTGGAGAAATTAACAGGATTTCAAACTGTAAACCGTTTCGTATTTGCTTGTTTTAAAGAAGTAAGTTTGAGAGAGAAAAGATGTGATTTGTCCACGGTCATGTGGTTGAACCACTAGCAAAATGGCAGCTGGTGGCACATCCTCTGGACCAGGCTGGACCTCCTAGTAGACCTATTTGAGCGTTCATGACCTGAGGAAGCGTTGCTTGAATATGATGATTAAGGGGCATATGCTAATTTATAAGAGCCAAGCAAGAAGGGAGTTGAATTATCCAAGCTTCACAGTCCTGATACAAGCATCCAGGAAGCAACACACCCTGCAAAACCTAGTGGGTTTTGTTTTACTGGAATCTGTCACTGACTCCAGTCATCCTCTAAAGCTTTTTTTTTTCTTTCCCTGTTTAATAACGGCAACTTGCACCAGCTGTATCATATTCTTTTCCTTAAACCTGTACAAGTTTCACTGTTTATTGGCTCAGGTGGTTCTGCTTAAAGAGGTCGTTAGTCCAGAAATCAAGGGAAGAACAGCAGAGTGAGTCTATCCAGAAGGCAGAGGAAAGAATAAAGAATGGACCTCATTTGTGACAGAAGGGATTTCAGATTACTTCTTCCAACAGCATGCAGGGTGTATTGCAGGTGAAGAAACAGAGAGGAACAAGGAACTCTCTGGATTTTAGGACAAGAGGCCTCTACTTACTCTCCTTCTCACTAACTTCAGAGGCTTTGTAACGCCAGAGAGTTGATGTCATCTCAGTCACCACCAGCTCTGGAGAAGGTGACGTACAAAGAACTTTACAAAACCCACCAGAAATTGCTGAGCTGAGCCAGGTCCTTATACAAGACATGGCTGACACGAGAGCACAGAATAGGGCAGAAAGGGCTTTTTGTGTCTTGTTCTTCTATGTATATAAAAAGATTTTGGATTTTTTTGCCATTGCTGGTCTGCCTGGTGTACTTTCCATTTGCCTGTCTCCCCTGAGGTTACCCCTGGTCTTCATCTACTTCAGAACCATCCTTTCCTGCCTCAGCTCTAGTTTGCTCTCTCTTCCAAAGAAGCAGCCCTCCTGTTTTCCAGACCTTTACATCATTTTCTTCTTTCTTCTCTAAATTTCCCCAGTGCACTGAAGAAGCAGTAAAATTTGGATAAATATAGAACTTCCCCGCCTCAGTAGGTGTGAGTTACAGGATAAGCTAATATAAAGTATCGCTCAAGTCCCACAAGTGTCTCCTTTATTTTCATGAAATAAGGACAGGAAGATGTCCCTGGGACTTCCCTGCTTCTGTTGCTTTGAGGGCACAGGGCACTTCTGGATAAATTTATTTTAAGCTGTGTAGCCTGCAGTTCTCTAGAGTTCCCTTTGAAATCCCCTCAACTGTAATGAAGGCAGGTGAGCACAGGAGACTTGCTCATGCATTTTTCTCATAAAAAGGAAAACGTGTGTGAAGGGTGTAGGTAGGTCAGCCTCCAAGAACAAGTAGTAGGTTAGTTGCTGGACATCTGACCTGCTCTAGAGGGAACCCATTCTCTACTCAGAACAAAAAGGGAAAGACCGGCAAAGTGAAATTTAAGTGATTCGAGCTCTACTCGTTAGTCCTAGGAGATAAATGTTGAAAAAGGAGCCTGGGCTTTTAGTTGGCAGAGGAAGGGACTCCACAAAATAGAGCATGATGGTGGAGAAGATGTCTCCAAGGATAGTTGTATTCAGCTGGAATAGCCACTGCCCTGACCCCCAGCCTCCAGCAAACAGGTTAGTCCTTCTCTGGTGTGGGTGGTGGGGGCTTTCTTTTTTTGCAGGTCAGAAGGCACTGCTTTGTGCATTGAGGTACCAAGAGCAGCAGAACAGGCACAGGTTAACACAGGGGTGAGCCTGGGGTGACTCAGAACAGGTGAAAACACCACTCTGTTTCTTAGCAGTGCTCCAAATATTCTCCCACACCTGTGTCTCAAATTAGAAAGGGTTTATGCAGGCCACTATGTGGGCATCTTTGTCAATTTGGCAGGGGCTTGAAATTGTGACAATTTCACAATTTCTGATATTTTTCCCATGAGAAATGATGTTTTAAAACAGGAGACCTTCTAGGGCATGGCAAGAGAAATATTAAAATGGATATAAATGACATATGAACATGCATGTATGTGTGTCTGTGTGATAGCAGCTGAAGAAACAGCAGACATCAAATGTCCTGTACTGATTGCAAAGGGTGCTGTTTCTAATTAATCAAATTGAGAAATGGGTTGTTTCTGTCAAGCCTGGGACAAGCCTGATAAAACTACAACAGACAACTTGTCAGTGGCAGATCCTGTAGCCTAACAACAGGAAGATGGCAATGAGATTGTCCTGTATCATTCGTGCTGCCCCTTTTCTTCTCCGTCCAACAGGATGATAGCAGAAAAAGCAGAAGTTCACACCCAATATGATAAGAGACGTATCCCAGAAACAGTTTCTTCTCGCCAATGAAGAGAAACGCAGAGGATCCTGGCCAGACAGCCTGAACACCTACAGCTTGTGAGTATGAAACGACATAAAATCAACTTGCCTAGAGATTTTGCATAATAAAAGGATGTTCCCTTTAACAGATCTTTTTAATGTTCGTTTCCTACAACTTACCTTTTTTTTTTTTCTGATGTTATTTTTTTTATCTGGGCTGAGGATCCAGAAAATATTCACAGCCTTGGTCTAGTATGGAAATTTTATTACTGACTGTTGCCAGGCTGGTGACCTGCAGTTACTGTTACAGTTTGGGTAGTTTTTTTTTTTTTTTTTTTTTTTTTTTTTTTTTTTTTTTGGTGAAACCTGGCACGCTTGTGAAATAAATTTGAGGAATTAATCTGGTTTGAAGAAAAGTAAATACTTTCTGGAGCACTAAGTATTCGCAGTCCAGTATCTGGACAGTGAATGTCACAGCTCTTGGCCGTTAGTATAAACTCATTATTATTACTATGTTATGTTCCTGCTACTGAATTGTAGTTTTAGCGGTTTATGACAGCACAGAAGTCTTTAATAAAAGCTCATAGTTGGTGTGACTACCACTAAGTCTTTAACAAAAGCTCATAGTTGGTGAGGCTGTCACTACCCTCGAACCGATTCCAGGGAGGAACTTACTTTGAATGGAAGAGCAATTTGCTCTGTTACACGCTGGAATGCAGCCTGAAATGTCTCAGGAGGAAGTTTGGGTTTCTGCTGCTGCCGAGAGCCTTCCTCTCGCCGCCTTCCCCGCTCCTCCCGGCCGCCGCTGCTGGGTGCACTGACTGGTCTGAGGTGGGGTTTGGGGGTTTGGGTTGTTTTGATGTTTGGTTTTTTTTTTTT